GACCACATCTAACTTAAATTGCATTAGTCCTTGTGCTAAAACGATGATTGTTATCGTAGATGTACTTGCAAACCACAGTTGCCTGGGCTTAATGTTAATCACACCCTAGCCTCCTCTGTCCACAAAATCAGAAGTACACTGTTAGCCTTCTAAACAAGTGATGAGGCTGTATCTTGAGGAACTAATGATACATTTTTTTTTAAGATACCAGCTCAGACAGAAAAAAAGGTCACACTGAAAATTTTCGTGGGTGTTCAAAGACCTTTGTTACCAGAAACTGGTCCAGGAGGCAAGGTTAAAAATGGTCGGGGGTGGGGGTGGGGAGGAGATGAATGACTAGTGGCGTAAGGGAATGAGCCGATAGACTGACATGAAAAACATGGAATCTGTGTGCTGGCCCTTGCTCCTACCTGTCAGGACCAGCTGGCTTCCCCAGCACCTCCTAAGTGTGGCGTGCCATGTCCCATGCAGAACTGCAACAGGCTCCATCTTCTTTCTCTCCTGACAGAGGATGTGGTAAGGCTAGGGGCATGAGCCCTCTCTCAGTTTGGGGGCTGTTCTTCAGAGATGGTGCCAGTCAGCCCTGTACAGCCAGCCACTCCAGTCACTGACCACAGGAGAGGAAGCGTTCCGGAATTCCTCCTGCCAGGAAGGCAGTTGCACCACCTTATGGCTGAATTCTCTGCCAGAGTGCTTCAGGAATCTACCACCTTCTACCGAACTTACACAGTTAACCTCCAGCATTTTGTCACAATACTTGCACAGCGCCACAGCTGGCGGATGCTTGGTCCTGGAAGCCTGACGAGAGGGAAGAAGGAGTGAAGGAAGAGCAGACCCACGGACACACCTGCGGAAAAGCTTGGATGGGATAGGCTGTGTCTGCTCTGGCGGAGCACACCGGCGAAGCAGAAGCCGTGAACTTCGGCATTTTTATCATGCACTGCACAGAAGGAAGGCTTAGCTAGTCACAGTAAAATGTCTGTAGGTGAGCAGCCAAGTACAGCCGTCCGGAGGGGGAAGGACACTCCCAACAGTCCTACTCAGACCGGAGGAAGGCCTTGCCATCCTCTGAGCCTCAGCTTGGGATTGGGGGAAGGTTTGGTCGCTCATGGAGGGCTGAGGCTCTGGGGTCCTTGACATGGCTGTGCCCAAGTTAACAACACACACTCAGGACTTCAACTCTTTACACAATTTAAATTTCAGGGCTTTGTCAGATCTCCACAACCCAGGGTTACCCTGCTCACAGGCATTGGGTAAGTCTAGTTAGCCGAGATGAGAGAGACCTTGCTTACCACAACTTCAGGGAAGATCTTTGAGCCTGACTGGAGTTATAGGATGGTTACTTACCTCAGGTAGCATTGTCCGTTCCTCACAGCCAGGTGTGGCTCCCTGTGTTCTTCTTGGAGGTCAGGGATGGATGGATGGCGGGAAGAGAAGTGTAATTGTCCTATGAGCACGGCGTCGGCGTCTAGCTCCACCTATACACATCCTCCTCTAAGAGTCTGGAGGGGCCTCAGCTCTGCCCCAAACAGCTGAGCATCCTCAGCTCATGTGAGCTTCTGCAAGATTGTTTTCCCCGATGACATAGGATGCCAGGGCAGTTGCTCTTAGATTTCTTGCCTTTTCTATATCACTTTGCCTTGTTCACCTCGGCCTAGCTTCATCTGAGCCAAACTCCTCTAGACTTCCAAGTGCTGTGGATATGTAAGTCACATAGATTAAGTCCCTCCCTTCCTGTACATTGACCTCAAGTCCATCCAGCCTTTAGCCAGGCTAAAGGCTGATGGCTGGAATTTCTGAGGGATCTCAAGTTGGTTTGGATCAGTGCTTTATCACAGCGAAAGGCAAACAAACTAGAAAGTTGTGTGATATGAAGTGAGTGTTTGAGGGCCCTTACTTTAAAGCGTTTTATTGGCCAGTTCTTCAAATTCACTAAACCATAAAGCACAAGGAGATGAGCTTTAGCTATTCCTGCCCAAGCACAAAGTCTTTGGGAAAATGTAGCAGGGAAGCCAGTCACTGAGTGAAGCAGGGCTCCACGGCGAAGACGCCTGCCAGTGACGCCCACACATGCTGCTTGTTTGTAGTAAGCAAAACTAGCTTTCCTGACAGATCTCTCTCTGCAGCCCTTCTAAAGAACATAGGGACTTTTCTATGTTAAAAGTTTCTTTTAGAAGTTCTTGTGTTATAATGGGGGGAGGGACCCACAGAACAAAAAAAAAAAAAAAAAAAGGCAAAAACAATCCCAGTATGGGTGTCTGGTGTGAGGGTTTCTCATAGTGAGCCCACTGGACATGTTACACAAGCTACGGAATATTCATCTGTGCTCTGTGCTATCTGGCTTTGTGTTTGGCATTACCATACTTTGGAGAGTGTCATGAATGCCAGTTGTGTGAGATGAATGCAACCAACAGGGTTGAAAGGCTAAAACAAACCTTTCTAATCCGTCTAGTTCCCTGTTCTCTGCCTTAGGCCATGCCTCTTTGGCAAGTCTGTTCGCCGTTCTTGCTCTCCTGACGGGGGATGTACTCGCTTCCTCGGTGTCAGGAAAAGCCTCTTCCTTGCGGATTTGCAGAAGTTTAAATTTCTCTTCTGAGTAGAAGGAAAAAGAGCTGTAAAATTAAAAAAAAAAAAAAGACAATTCTAGAACAAGACAAGTGTTCTCAGCTCTGACTCCTGTGCTGAACTTTTTCACATATTTACTTCAAAGACCCAGAAATACTTAAAAAAAATTGAAAAAAGAGCATGTGTGTAGAAATCAATTCACCGAATTTGTAACTGCATGAGCCCCTCAGGACGGAGTGACGGCTGTGCCCAGACACTGCTCTCATGTGCTGCGCATGCACAACAGGACACACATCTTCCTCCGTGGAACTTGTATCCCCTTGTGTGGAAAAACAGAAAGCAGCCAGATAAAATGTGCACTATGACAAGGGAGGATGAGTGCTATGGGAAAGAAAGCAAAAGCAGGAAATGATTCTGCGGTGATGTACTGTTTCGTGTTGGATGCTCAGGGAAGGCCTGTTGGACAGTGTTGTTCTGTACACGCCAAAGAATGAGTGAGAGCCGTACTTCCACTCTGAATAAGTGAGTCTGTTAAGTGTGTAGCAAGAAAAGTGAAAGATAAGTAGCAAGTGATAGTGGGTGGGACCTGAGCAAGTTATATGCGTGTATAAAATTATCTGAGAATATTACTCTTTAAAAAAAATAAGACTCTCCATGGGGTGTTAGCCTAAATAACTGAGGTGGCAGGATTATACAGGAATGGGTCGGAGAGTGGTGGAATTTAGTCTGTGGCATGCTCAGTTTTAGCTAGACAGCTGAGAGAACATGCCGACCTGGCAGTTGGGTGCCAGCGTCTACCCAGCATGAGGGATGGACCCAACTGTAGCAACAAGGGAATGAAAAGGCGGCCACCTCGCCACAGGTGTCCTGGGAAAGCTGGGAGTGGGTGGGCTGTGCGCACCTGGATGGAAGGTACCAACTTCGGCAGTAGCCCAGAATTTCAGTTTGGGGAGAAGCCTGAAAGATAGGCTGGAAGGAGCGAAGCTGATGTCTTGAGGAAGAATGGTCCCGGTAAACAAGACTGATTTGGTTGAAAATATGAATGGAGGAGGCAGGTTTCTTTCCTACGTGGAACGGGAGGCAGGGCTGACTAGTCTTGGTTAAAGGGGCTGGGCTCGGGCTGCATCGTCCAGAGGAGGAAACTGTGGTTGGTAGGTCAGTCGTTCATAAACACTCGTGGTTGGACCGGAGGCAGGCTTTGCCCAGTCTCCAAGCCTTACCTGGGGAAGGCTTCGCCTCTGCCGTGGGTCTGAGACATTGGTGTCTCAGACATGGCCCTGCCCGTGTCGACAATACACATGCGCTCAGGACTTCATCCATTCCCCACAGTTGTATGTGGGGGTCTGGGGTGTCGGGACAGAAACAGATTTGAGTGTTGTCAGCATATAAACGATGTTCAAGCCACAGGATTACAGAGTGAGCAGGGAGAGGGGAGAAAGGTCCTAGGGCCGGGCTGTAGTCGTTTCCAAAGCACCGAGACTGGGAATGAGAATAGTTAGGGAAGTAAAAGAAAGATCAAGAAAGTCCGTTGACCCAGAGGCAAGAGATGCGTGCTCTCCTTTAGAGTGTACGCACCGGTGCTTACTGCCCCATGTGGCCGTGGCGTGAATTGCAAGTAGTGAGGACACAAGATGTCCAGTGGACAGACTGAACAACTGGGCTGCGGATGGACAGCTGTGCCAGCGCTAATGGCCTCTGTAGGAGTGTGTTTCTCCATCATGGTGTGTTCTCTCTCTGGCCTTTGTCAGTGGGCTGGAGGCAGCAAATAGTTGAGCATAACCAGAAAAAAGTAGATAATCGGTGTCAGCAGATCCTTGAACGATGATACTTGCCATTTCATGAAAATAACTGCATTTTAAGTGAAGACGACTAGATAAAGAAAACTTAAAATTGAAGAAAATGAAAGTTTATGGTGTATAGGGCTTGTAAGTAGAATAATTTCCACCCCACTCTCATAATTCCCATCCCACTCTCATAATGCCTGCCCCTGTCTCACAGTGGCCCGGAAGAGGTGCAAATGACCTGCCCTAAAACACCTGCTCACTAAACTGTAATTGTACTTAAGTCTGAAGTAGACTTTGAAAAACTAGACCTGATTTATTCTGCATTTAATGACTATTGAATGTTAAAAAGCTACTATGTTCTTTGAAAATGTTTGTACTTCCTACAAAAACAAAGGAACTAAGCAGAGGTTCAGATGTAGGGAAAACTGCGGGCCCATGTAGAAACAAAAGAATTCACCTGTTTGAGAGGGGGCTGTCTTACGATAACTAGAATAGGAAGAAAGGAACTGACTTTTATGGTCACAGTTTTAATTCAAATATATGTATAGAGTAGCAATCTAAATTTAATATGGTGCATTTATAAATTAAGCAGTACCGTGTCATTTTTTAAATGTAGCTGATCGCTTTCTCTTTATTGAAAAACAAAAACAGATTTTGTTGGAGCCAGGAGTGATCCAGGATGTGTTGGCAGCTGGCAGTCACCTACAGCTGTTGGAGCTTCTCAATCTGTGTTCCCACTATCTCATCCAGGTATGCCATTACACCCCTTGCCCTGAAGTTGCAAACTGCTCTACCAACTGAGACTTACTGAAAGAAAATTTACACTGTGTGCACATGTGTGTGTATCTGGCGTGTGTGTGTGTGTGTGTGTGTGTGTGTGTGTGTTTGTACACCCTGGGCTAGTAGTTCCTGGAGGACACAGCTAAGAGGATGCTATGAAGACAGCTGCAGTTCCTGTGTCCCCTCATACACACGGGTAATGTTGTCTTCTCTGCCCGCTGTCCCCAGGCAGAGGACTGATTCAGCATCCATGCACAGGCCTCTCCAAATGAATAAAATGTGCATCCTTGTCCTGATTTGCTGGAAGGTTAGGAACAGCCTCGTGAGCGACAAAAAGAGAGTTCACATAACACCATGCCACTGTGTATTTACAAACGTTTCACATTCATTCCTCACAACAGATGTATACATTAAAAATATGGTGTCAGAGGTTCACAGTGTACCCGCTGCTTGAGGCAACGCGGCTGGTGAGGGTGTAGCTCTTTGTAAAGCCGTTTTCTCTTGGGGAGGGCGGTTGACGATCAAAACTACACAGTGAGATGTGGGATGGCTATGGTATCTTCATGCCTCTGAGGCTTTTATTTTATAAATAAAATTACATTTAATTAAAGTAATTTATTTACTTATTTTGGGGAGTATCAAACTCCTTTTTCAGAAACATAAGGATGGGCAGGGACTGAAGAAGGCCATGTGATCTGATGTCTTTGGCAGGGCAAATCTTCTGGCCTTCTTGGCATTAACAACCTCTGTGTGTGTGTGTCTCTCTCTCTGTGTGTCTCTCTCTGTCTCTGTGTGTGTCTCTCTCTCTCTGTGTGTGTGTGAGTGTGTGAACCCAAGCTTGCATGCACACACAGCAAGTGTGTGTAGAGGTTAGGGGATAATGTAAGAGTGACACTTTTTCCCTTCCACCATTTGTCCCATGGTCTCATTTCCCTTTGCATTTATTATAATATAATGACAATGGAAAGTAATGAAAATAATGAATCTACACACTTCTATTCTAGTATCTTTGTGCATATGACATTAATAAGAAGAAAAAATCATGTTCCTACTTAATTTCTTTGTTTTTCTTTATAATCGTTTTCTCTGATTCTGACTTGTCTAAATGTGCTGTAAATGGGTCCTTTATCATTCACTTCTGCTATTCATTATGGAGTTTTCAAAGCTCTTTGTCATACGGCATCTTTTTTTTTTTTCTTTTTTCCTGACAAACCTGGGAAACAGGAATCAGTTCTTCCCAGGGCAACAGTGTGAGAAGCACCACCCATGTTCACCTAAGAAACAATTTAAATACAATATATGACATTTTTATTACTATCTCAATACTTTTAACCCAAGGGTAAATGTTTAACCATTTTTATCTGGTTTACCTTTCTTTTCCTCCCAATAATTTTGAATGATACGGGAGAGCTGTTTTTAATTTCTTTCTGCTAGTTCTCAATGGGAATCACCTAGAAAGTTTACAAGATGTCAGAAGTGTGTGTTTGGCTTTGACACTAAATTAATTTTATTTGACATTTATACATCAAATGCTACAGATAATAATGAATGACACATAGACAGGAATCTGGTAATAGTATTATAACTGTGGAGGATGATTATAGACAGATATCCTCATACCTGTTGTGTGTATGTAGCCATGTTTTCTATAAATAAGAGCTCCAGATGAACACTGGAAGTCTGTGTACATTTTTCCTGCCCTGTCAGATGAAATTTGTTGAGACCTAAGTAGCTGTGACCTTTGCAGCTGAATTCTCCCATTTGTTTCACTCAGGTCAAAGTGCAGTTTGAATAAAGTTACATTTTGTGAAAATTTATTACTCAGGCCTTCGGTTTCTTTGTTTTCAAGACAGGGTTTTTCTGTGTAGCCTTGGCAGTCCTGGACTCACTGTATAGACCAGGCTGTTCTTGCTTGAGCTCATAGAGGTGTGCCGTCGCGCCCTGTTTACTCAGGCTTTTTAACAGTGACTGAAACTCACAAATGTCCTTTCTTTCTGTTGACCTCTGCCTTGTTGTCAGTGATTACTGCAAGATGTTGAGCTTATAGAAGGAAACTGACTGGATGGCAACGCAGTGTCTGTAGAAACAACGGTGCTTTAGTCTCTCCATTACGTGTGTTGCTTCTCTCAGGATGAAGTCTTCATACTGTGTCAGCCTGCTTTTATATTATATCATGTTAATGCAGCCTTATATATCTCCACTCTTTTGGCAGTATTGCTCAACTAAGTTTCAATGTCATACAGAATCAGTTAGCTGGTTCTAATATAAAAAGGATTTTTTTTTTAAATGAAATCTCCCCTGTACTTAAAATGTACCAGGAAGCTGTGCTCTTTTTACCAGTTCTAATGTGCGGGCCATCCTCTGGAGCCTTTGTCCAGCTGGGAATGTAAAAATGCTCACCACTATGATGCCTGCTATGATTTCGTTGTACTTAAGTTCCCCTTGTTTGTTTGGTGAGGGTTGGAGGACTCCTGTAGGAGCCCTGTTCTTTATCTAGCACTCACTCAACTGTCCAAGAACCCTTTGCAGAAGCGCCCTGAGCCTCCTCAGACATTAGCAGACACCTTGGGAACTTCTGACCCATGAATGCTGCAACACCATCTTCACCCTGGTGCCTGCACGCCCCCACCCCACAATCTGCACCCCACCCTCACTCCCAGAGAGGAAGAGACATCTTCAAGATCATAGTGTGGGCCCCTTTTCCTCCCTTTTCAAAAAGATCCACAGCCCATGTCTAGTCTGAAATAAAACGTGATTCCTCGTTCCCTATTGGTTAGGATGGATTCTGTCAAGTGAGAGGACAGCCTTGCTTTTCAGCATTCTGAATGCACGTGCTTTCTGTCCCTGTTGTAAGCACTGCTAAGGAAACCCTTGGAGACCCCTTCATTAGTGACCAGCTGGACGGGACGGAGGTTCAGCACGGCCACTGCTCTACTGAACCCTTTCTCAAACTTCTTTTTTCCCAGCTAAATTCTGCACTTTTGTTGTTGTTTATTTTCTGAAGCAGGGTATCCCAGACTTGCCTCTAACTCACCCTTCAGTGTGTTAGGGTTACAGGCATGTGTCACCACCTCAGCCTTCTCAGCCATTTCACATTAACCACTGAATTTCTCCAACTATGGTTCTTTTTTATCTGTTTTTATTATCTAAAACAATTGTAAAATTTAAATATATTTTGATCATATTCTTCAGTTGCCACATCTCATTACAGATCCTCTCTCTCTCTCCCCATCTACTCTTCACCTTCCTTCTCAAAAAAAAAAAAAAAAAAAACCAATGTAACAAGAAAACAATATAAAACACCACTAAAAAAGAAACAAAACAGACAAACAAAATCCCCACCAAACTGTGTAAACACACATACACACACGCACACCAAAACAAAACAACAACAAAACTGGAGTTTATTATAAGTTGGTCAGCTGCTCCTGACCATGATGCCTGCCCTGGTCTGGTGGACCCAGAGTTGCTACATTGGAGAAAGTTAATTTCCCTCTTTCACAGGTATAAGTGACAGGCCAGTTGTTATCTTTACCCCAGTGGATAGGTTTTCACTCACTCACTCCTTCATTTTTTTAAATATAAGAAAATAAAATGTAATAAGATAAAACAAATACTAACACAACAAGGTTGGACAAAACAAGCCAACAGATGGAAAGAGCCCAAGAGAAGGCCACGAGTCAGAGACCCACTCATTCACTTGCTCTGGAATCCCCTCAAATCTCTAACCTGGAAGCCATAATGTGAGTGCACAGGATCTGAAACAGGCCACATAGGCTCCGTGCACGCTCCGTGCAGGCTCCGTGCAGGCTCCGTGCAGGCTCCGTGCACGCCTCAGTCTCTGTGAGATCATGTGAGCTTTGCTCGTGCTGAGAGGGCATGGTTTTTCTTGGTGTTCTCCACCCCCTCTGGCTCTTGCGTTCTTTCTGCATCCTTTTTCACAGGGTTCCCTGAGCTCTGAGGGAAGAGATTAGATGGAGACACCCTACTTAGGCCTCTCACTCTGCACAGTGTCTGGCTGCAGGCATTTGTTTCTCTCTCCTGCAGGAGGGAGCTTCTCTGATGGTGGATGAACAAGACACTGCTCAATGACTATAGCAGAATATAATTAGGAGTCATTTTATCGCTGCATTTTTCTTTTCATTTAGACTAGTGTTACGGTTTTGTCCTGGGACTCTGGGCCAAACAGTGTTGGGTATGAACCCCATTTTGGGGAGCAGACCTTAGGTCAGAGCAGTACTGGCTGGTGGCTCTCACAAACTCTAAGCCAACATTACCCTAGCACGTCTTGCCGCAGGTACACAATGGTCTTTCTGAGTCTGTGATACCTCACTCAGGGTGATTTTTTTTCCTAGTTCCATTTATTTGCCTGCAAATTCATGGTGTCAATTAAAAAAAAAAAACAGAATAACAAAAAAACAAAAACCAAATAAACAAACACACAAACAAAAAAAACAAAAAACAAAAACGTAGGACTCCATTGTGTAAATGTACTACATTTTCTCTATCCAGTCTTCCGTTGAGGAACATCTAGGTTGTTTTCAATTTCTAGCTTTTTTGAATAGAGCAGCACTGAACATGGATAAGCAGGTGTCTGTGTGGTAGGATGAAGGGTCTTTGGGTGTGTGCTCAAGAATTATAGCTAGATCGTGAAGTGGACCCATTCCTATCCTACTGAGGGAACACCACACTGATTTCCGTAGTGGCTATGAGTATGCACATTGCAATGGCTGGTGTTCCTCTCACTCCACAGCCTTGCTAGCCTGAGCTCTCACTTGTATGATCTTAGCCGTTTTGACAAGTCTAAGATAGAATCTCAAAGTATTTTTTGATTTGCATTTCCCTGATGGCTAAGGAACTTTTAAGTGTTTGTCAACCATTTGAGTATCCTCTTTCAAGAATTCTGTTTGAATCTATATCTCATTTTTTAATTGAGTTATTTGGTTTTTTTTTATGTCTAGCTTCTTGAG